ACAATTATGAAAAGTAGTTATAAAAACACAGTCAAAATCACCTAAACTGTTATTGTAAGTTATGTTCTTTTGAGATGAGGACCCTTTAGACTATATGTTGGACACTTCCCAGTCGTTCGAACTGACTGTACCACCATTTTATAAAATTTTTACACAAGGAATTACGGCTATACTCTAAACAAAACCTCCCAAATATCATACACAGCTGGTGTAGAAAGGTCCATTGTTGGTTTTGTTATGCTAACTATGCCATGCTATCCATGCTGTATATGCCACAACACGAGTCATTGAGGAAAAAAACTTACACAAACTGTTTGAGTGATTTTTGCACATTTTTTATAACCACTTTTTATAATTATTCACATTCATGTAATTATTGTTTTGCAGTTACTGTATGAAACTATTTTAAATTTGCCATTCAATAAAACAATTCCCAAGTTTCTATGTTGCTTGGTTATTGGTTTATGTAATCTTAAAATGTGTCCAATAATTTATGACCACCCTGTACTATCAATCAATCATTTTTATAATCATCATCATCTCATCATCATAATCTTTTTCATCTCTATAATTGAATGTTATGATACATCTTTATAGGCATTTTAATTACTTGTTACTGTTGATATTTAAATTTTTAAACTTGTTATACTCTTGTTAAGTAGTTTTAGGTAAAATATTACAGTATTACTTGTATCGATTTTGTTACTGTTTTTCTTTGCTCAACTATTTTTATGGTTCAATTTTATATGTTTCTAATCATGTTATGTAGTTGTTAAGTTTGTTGGTTCAAGCTTTTTTACTGTTTAGGAAGAGCAAACTATTAAATTACGGATGACTCAACAAGATGCATGAAAAAGACATTTAAGTTAAATCAAGAAATGCTACGGACATGCATTTTATGATGCTTATGTAGCTTAGTGTTATAATGCCCTTTTGTAATTGTGTTTGTATTGAATAAATAAATTGAATTGAATTGAATTTGTCTTTGTACATAAATACAAGAAATGGCGTCACATGTACATAACAACAAAACAAAAACACATTGGATAAGCAAGACTTAGTTACTAATGATTTTCAACTCGTCGGAGACTGGTTCACAGTAAATGGTCTATCTATGAATGTGTCAAAGACACAACTAATTCACTTTTCAGTTGCTAATGAGAATATAGACATTGTTGTAAATTTGAACCAAACATCAATATATTCTCAAAATTTAGTCAATTACCTGGGAATTGATATCTAGATTGGCAACTTAATTGGCAAATTAACATTAAGAATCTATCAAAGAGACTCAGATCAGCTATACTTGTTCTTTGGGTAATTCGACATACTACAAATTTAGACATACAATTAGCAGTATACCACGCTTATTTTTCTTCCATTATGAATTACGGTTTAACGGTATGGGGTTCTTCTAGTCATGCCGAACAAATTTTTATCCTCCAAAAAAGAGCAGTTCTTAACGAAAGTGTCTCGAATTACTCACAGTAAAGAGTTTTTCATTCAGTTTAAAATTCTTACTTTGTATAGTTTGTATATCTTTAAACTGGCTTTAATGGTTAAAAGTGATTTTGACTCATTCATGGAAGATCAACATGTGCATCCCCACAACACTAGATAAAAAAAAATATATAAAACCAGTTCAACACAGACTTAAAGTATTCCATTTATCTCCTCAGTACATGGGCCCAAAATATATATAACAAATTACCTTCCTCAATTAGGGACACTGATTCATTCCCTAAATTCAAAAAAGAAGTTAAAAAAACTTCCTTTTGGAGAAGGCCTTCTTCTCATTGGAGGAATATATGGAAGCTGTGTAGATGTTAAGGCTCAGCATATGAAATTTATTTTAGTAATAATTTTAGTATAATAGAGACTATAAAATATTGCAACAATGACGAATCACCAGTCTGAATATGATGTTATGTGATTATTGGAAAAAAAATAATAATACATCACCTATATATATATATATATATATATATATATATATATATATATACACACCTAATATACTGTACCATCAACGTAGTTTGTAGCATCACCAACCCCAGACAAACCTACACAGCTCCCAATGCAAACTCACATACAAGTAAAGATCAGTTTTCAGTTTTGCGTTAAATTTGTTTGCATTGTTTTCTAATCTTAGTTCATCTGAAAGAGCTTTGAGAAATTATTTCCTTATATAGTTGGTTTTTTCCTTTAAAATTCTAATCAGTGTTTCTCTAACTTTGTTCCAAATTTCCTCCGTGTATTATAGAGGTGTGTAGATTCGATTTGTGATTTTGAGTTAGTTTTAAAATATAATATACATTCAAAAGTGTATAAAATATAATATATATTCAAAAGTGTATAAAATATAATATACATTCAAAAGTGTATAAAATATAATATACTATCATATTATATATATACATATATATCATTGTTATATTATGCTATCTCTATTATATATCATACTACTTATTTATTATACATAATTTTAAAGCCTATTTGATGAGGAAGTTTTTTGATTATATTTGATACCTCAGCGGAACTTTACAACCTAGAAATAAGGGTTTTAATATTTATTAAGTTTTTTCTTAGTTAAATATTTTAACTGTTATGATGGAATTTAAGTAGAATCTCATTCAATACCCCAATGTTTCTGGATTATTCAGATTTTTCAAATGTATTGTAAATTTTGTGAGGGTTTCAGAAATTACCTCATTTTAATAATGTATGTCTTTCACACATAGTAATAAACATCTATTTCATAAAAACTGCCATTATTAAAAAAAATCTCAATTTATCTTTTATTCCCTTACATTTTGAGTTGGAAACCTCAAATAGGCATCATTAAATCACCATTATGATGTAGTTTGACAGATAATTTTATTTAACACTTATGACCGGACACCCTATATAATGGGTGGTGCAGAGGAAACGCGTGTTTTTCGAACCACTAGTACACGGTGACGGGAGACGGTATTAACCTTGAACGAATGTTGGCAGACGTCCCATACAATGCCGTTTCACAGTCGCTATGGAGCATTGGTGCGTACAACATCGTGTGTTCATTGTCGAGCAGTTTTTTAGAAACAATGACTCTGTAGTCACAGTGCAACGTCTTTTCCGTCTACATTTTAGAGTTGGACGTTGAGGTGCAGTGCCTGATCGAATTACCGTACTCCGATGGGTTGCAGCGTTTAGAAGTACTGGTTCTGTGACCTGGTCTTCCCCGTTCAGTTTGTACTCCGGAAAATGTAGACCGAGTCAGAACGGCAGTTGTTACTAGTCCTAGACGATTGACTAGACGACATGCTGTAGCGCTGGGTATGTCACGTCGTTTGCTTCCATAATGACTGTCCAGCAGCTTAATGAAGAGAAGGGGATTTTGTACAGCGCAGAGAACTTTTTTGTTCCATAAGGGATGAAATGTTTACGGAAGATCCCAATGCTACAGTCTTCATGAGTGATGAAGCACATTTTCATCTTGACGGTTACGTCAATGTTCAAAACAGTCGGTATTGGTCATCAAAGAATCCACAAGAATTACACTAAAGACCTCTGCACAGTTTAAAGGTAACAGTTTGGTGCTGCATTTCAAAGTTGGGGATTGCTGGACCCTATTTTTTTTAAGAATTAGGAATTGCAGTTACTGTTACATCAGCTCGCTACGTTGAAATGTTAAACAACTGCCTTCGCCCAGAACTTGAATGGCATTAAGTGAACATGAGAGACATATGATTTCAGCAGGATGGTGCCTCAGCTCTCACGGCGAGAGCATCCATGGAAGTGGTTCGACAAATGTTCCCAGGACATGTGATTTTGAGATTTGGTGATGATCACTGGCCCCTCGCTCACCCGACCTGTCGTTATGTGACTTCTTTTTGTGGAGGTATTTGAAATCAAAAGTGTACATCAACAAGCCTCGCACACTCGATGACCTTAAGAATTCCATTTGTCAGGAAATTGAAGCTGTGCCGAATGAAATGTTGGAGTGAGCCGTCCGTAATTTTCAGAAGAGGATCGAAATTTGTATCCAACAAGAAGGACGTCATCTCAAAGACGTTATTTTCAGGGTGTCCACATTCTGGAAAGTCAGGGATAGTCATGGAAAAAAAAATTTGGTCATTGAAAGTCAGGGAAATAGGCAAGAAGTCATGGAAAGTCATAGAAATTTCCAATTATGGATGGATTTGAGGGGACCATTCAATGCTCTAGTCAGCCGTAACCCGGACTGTTGTAGCATTTTTCAGGATTTTTCACAAATGTTCGACAATTCAATTTATTACAGTTGTATTATTTTATGAGTTTTCGGTTTGTTTTAGTTCATTGTTGTACCTATTGTACTCCATTGTTATCTGTTATTACATATTTCAGTATTTTCTGCAAAATAACATGTCCAGACAGTTATTTGTGTGTGTATGTTATATTATAATTTGCGTGTATAGTTCGTGAGTCATGGAAATCAATGGTAAATGGTCATGGATAGTCATGGAAAGTCATAGAAATTAATGAAAATTTTTTTGTGAACACCCTGATTTTTCTAAACTAAATATGGTATGTAATTTCAAAAACTGCATTAAAAACCTATAATTTAATACTTGTTTTAATTATTTTCAATCCATTGTGTCCCAGTAATTCAATATTGAAAAACATGCGTTTCCTCTCTGTATAAGCAGTACACATATTTATGCTTATTAACTTAATTCAAATGAAATCAAATCTTTATCAATCATGATATAACATGGGTTACAAAGATTTTGTCCTATTATAATCATATATCCATAACTATAACTCCTAATTATGATTAGGCCTAGAGCATTGATAAAATTCAACATTGTATGGACAAAAAGAGTTCCAGACAATAAATGAACAGTATAAGCAATTACACTTGGCCAGGAACTAATTTTGGTTTATCTACTAATCTGGCACTCAAGTTGCAATGGTTAGTAAGTAAAGGTTTCAGCTAATACAATTGATACACAGGAGTTGGGATTTTTTTTTTACAGTTTATAAGACATCTGAAGAAGTTAAATCATCTAGACATTAGCGAAAATGTTTTTGAAGATGTTCCTGAGGGGATCGGTGAATGTTCGCAGTTGACTGAACTAACTCTGACGTCAAACGACATACGAGTAAGTGCTGCACAAGGTTTTTCATTGCAAGATTTTTTTTTAACAAAATATATATCTAGGAAGGTTAAGTTTATTTTCAGTTTAGTAAAAAATGCTAAATAAATCAAACTTAATCTCTATGCAATACAGTAAATATTTTGTGCCAAAAGCCAATAATGAGATTTTGCATGGATAAAATAAGTTTACTTACCTTAGGATTGACAACATAAACCTATTTTATTTCTCGTAAATCAATCCTGGAGGCAATGCTGAAGAGATTTTACAGGTTTGTGATTATCTTTAAACTTTGAGAAAAAAAAAACTTGCAAAACACTTTGCCCGAGGTATGAAAATATCATTCCTTACTACTCTGTAAAGTAAAATTTTAAGTTAAAAATGTTTTATAAAATGAGAATATATTATCTTTTGAAAACACAAAACTATTTAGGTCTGCTGAGATCAGAAACCCATTACTAGAATACATTTAATGGTGATTTCTGTAAAAAACCAAACTAAAATAAACATGAACTTTTCAGGGCTTGCCAGCCGCAATTGGGAAGATTAAAAATCTAGTTACAATGAAGCTCGATCTTAATGATATTCACATGCTGCCAAATTCCATTGGGGAACTAGCATGTTTGGAAGAACTCTACTTATCCGCCAACAAACTAGAGACCTTGCCCACATCCATAGGACTGCTGCGCAATCTAATCTGTCTTGAGCTGGACTCAAACCGCATCAGCTACCTGCCTCCTGGTGAGTTTAATTTAAAATTATATTATGTCTTGAAAGGTTTGTATATGTTTTAGTAAAATATAATTAATAATCCATCTTCTATCATTCCTCAATAAAATTAAAACAACTTACTTGCCTAAGAAAAGAAGAGTAAGCAGTTGATAAAAAATAACATTCATAGCACATTAAACTTGATATTTCACTCTCCTAGATGACTTCTCCAGGATGAAGTAGAATGACACTTAATTGGCACTGTTCCCATTGTAAATACAGGGTGTTCACATTCTGGAAAGTCAGGGATAGTCATGGAAAGTCATGGAAACAGCCAAATACCCCCGCCGCAGAGAAACCTGCAGACTAAGCGAATTTCCATTTACCTGATTGGATTAACACTAAAAATTCCCCTTAACCTTCCGTTGGGGGCATTGATTTTCAAACACCAAAGGGCGCTCACGGAAGTTAACTCCGGGAGTACAGAAGCTATACAATGATGAGTAAAAACATTTTAATAGCAATAAAACTGTAAGAATAACATTTTTTATGAGTTATTACACTATTACTTAATTTGTATATCAAATAGAAAATGTTATGTAAAAAAATAAAAATACGTAAGTGTTGTGGATTAAAAAGATTTACTTTTTGTTTTTGTACATATAAAGTAACTTACTATCGTATGTTAGAAAACAAATTTTATTATTGTATGACATATAAACATGTACATGGTCTAATAATAAAAATAATTTTGTACAAGGACAACTCATTCAATCAAAGCTCTTAGACAAAAATTGCATCAGTGTATGACATAAAAACACCTAGGCTATGGTATTATGAAAAAAGATAATTATTTCATAAGGACAACTTACTTTGTCAAAGCTCTTTAGAAAAAATTGCAATGGTATTTGAAATAAAACACCTATTGTCTAATGCAAAAAAATAATTTGTTAGAAGGACTACACATTTTGTCAAAGCTCTTTTTCTTGAAAAAGAGGTTTCCGAACTCACGTACCATTAGTTCTTTCTACTAAATGTTGTTCAATGTCTTCCCTTTCAACACTAGACAACAATCTTGCAATTAGTTCTTTTTTATCCATTTTATAATATCACTAAATAAGGTCACACACAAGGGCGCACACGGAACTAGGCTCTGGGAAACCCGTTGCATCACAGGGCGCTCACGGAAGCTACTTCCAGTAGTGACGCAAACCACCCCCCAAGGTCGACTGACAACTGGGAAAGGGGTAAGAGTATACAAAACCGATTCTGCAAAAGAGGTTCGTGAGATAAATCAGGCCACAGCCCTGCCGAACACATACTATGATTTTTATAATGAAAAAAGTAGTGACCCGGAGGTAACTTCCGTGATGCGCCCGATGGAAGGTTAAAAATATTACATTTATTCCCTATTTAAATAGAATTCGTTGAAGGAGTACTTAGGTTTGCTGCCACAGGGAGAGTAAAAAAGTGATTTTTTAATGTTAATAGTTTAGTAAGGAATAAATGCATCTTCCAAATTCGATCAAAATATGTTCATAAACAAGCAAACTACAAGAGATACTTATTTATTCTCCATAAGAATAATATGGGAATTTTAAATTTAAATTTTTTTGGAACTTTCTCCGTATCCATTAGCTACATAACAATAATAAATAAATAAAATAAATAAATAAAAAGGCCTTTATTTGCAAGGGAGTTTCATATACACGTTTTTCAAACTTACTTAAGTCAAACTGGATGCTGTGGCAACGTAATTCCGAGTTTTTATTTCATTTGTATTTTATGTTATTATGGTGGAATAAATCATTATTTCATCATTTCATTATTTAAACTAAAACTAAACTAGCCTAATATACAGTGTTAGGCAAAAGTCTGGAACCCCCAGTTAACTTTTTAACGCGTTGCAGTAGAAAAACCAAACTCGGCACATATTTACAACATAAGAAATTGCACTTTTTCATCAAATTTACAACTTTGCCCCAGCCCCCAAAATGGGGTATTTTGGGGGCAGCCCCAAATTTTCAAATGTAAACACCTATCGTGTGACCCCTCATTTTAAAGGGTTTATCAACAGAAATTGAATGGCGCAAACCAGAGGTCAATATCGCACACCTAATCAAAGTAGTCATTTTAATTATTTAAGATGAGCAAGCAAGATAAAGTCTGGACACCCCCAGTTAACTTTAAAAATTTAATATTTTGGTCCTGACCAAAAGGTGAATTCTCTTTTTTATAAAGGTATGCTGAGTTTGGTTTTCCTGCTATAACCTGTTAAAAAGTTAATAGGGGATATTTAAAAATGACTGCCATTTTGATTAGGGGTGCGATATTGACCTCTAGTTTGCGCCATTTAATTTGTCTTGAGAAACCCGTTAAACTGAGGGGTCACATAATAGGTGTTTACATTTGAACATTTGGGGCTGCCCCCAAAACACCCCATTTTGGGGACCGGGTACAAGTTCTAACTTTAATGAAAAAGTGCATTTTTTATGTTGTAAACATGAGCCGAGTTAGGTTTTTCCACTGCCACACATTATCAAGTTAACTGGGGGTGTCCAGACTTTATCTTGCTTGCTCATCTTAAATTAAAATGGCTGCCATTTTGATAAGTTGTGTGCGATATTGACCTCTGGTTTGCGCCATTCAATTTCTGTTGATAAACCCTTTAAAATGAGGGGTCACATGATAGATGTTTACATTTGCAAATTTGGGGCTGCCCTGGGGCTAAGTTGTAACTTTGATGAAAAAGTACAATTTCTTATGTTATAAATATGTGCCGAGTTTGGTTTTCATACTGCAACGCGTTAAAAAGTTAACTTGGGGGTTCCAGACTTTTGCCTAACCCTGTATACACAAATATAATATACAAATAATTACAAAGAAAAAACATTAACAATTTACATTTTACAGTTGTTTTTCTTAATTGCGGCTCTGAATGAGCCATATGATTTGGAGTTCTATATGTCCTGAGGGAGGCCATTATACAACTGCTGGCTGAAATAAGAAAATTACTTTCTTCCAACCTCAAGCCTCTCTTTAGGAAAGTTAAGCCTGCGGTCGGAACGATTACCACGCAGACAGATCTTCCCCCTGTACTGTACCGGTACTGAGGCTCTCCCAGCGTGAGCACTTTGTGGACCAGGCAGCAGGTCAGCCTCCTGCATATGTCATCCATTGGGATGAGCTTTGCAGCATCTCGGAAGGAGGACACGTGGTCAAAGCGGTAAAGGCAAAAAATAAACCTTATGGAAGAATTTTGAATTATTTGAACTCTTGCCATATCCTCCTTAGAGATGCTGTTCCCATATGCAGGAAAGCAATATGTAAAGGCTGGGAGGACCAAGGACCGCATGAGTTGCATTTTGGCATATTTCCGGCAGTAGAGTTTTAAATCTGATTAGACCTCTCAGTCTACCCACTGCGCGTTGAACTGCAGATGTGACATGGTCAGAAAAGGAGAGGTCTTTGTCAAGTACAACACCTAGAGCGTGTTGACAGTGTCGCAAACAGACAATCACATGCCATCAAGGGTGATTTCTATAGCAGATTTACTCAATTTCTGGATCATAATGTTTAGTCCAGTATGCATGACGACGCACTTGTCAACTTTCAATCCAAGGCTATTCATTACAGACCATTGAAAAATGCTGTGCAAATCAAAATTGATGAGCCGTATTGCTTCTGATGTCATGTCTGACTTGTATGACAAAGTGTAGTTGGCAGTTATCAGCATACAAGTGTGCTGTAAATACTCTACACTTCTGGACTAGTCAGATGTGTGTGTATAAATTGAACAGCATAGGTCCTAAACAACTATCTTGAGGAACACCACACAATTTTCAAAGTGGATGTGATGTCTCACTCCCAATTTTTGTAACCTGCAGTCGGGACTCCAAATAGGGCCGAAACCAACAAACAACTTTTTCACTGCGGCCATAGCACTTAATTTTGGCCAATATTAATTCATGATCAACAGAGTCAAATGCTTGGGAATAATCTAGAATAGCTAATGTGCTGTAGAGTCCTTTATCTTTTTCATCGAATAGATCCCCAAACATCTTAGTCAGTGCAGTACAAGTACTGTGGTTTGTTCTAAACCCTGATTGTAGGTTAGGCAATTTATCAAAATCATCTAGAAATGAAGCAATCTGTTTAGAGTTACTATCGTTTCCATTATTTTTGACATTGCAGGTAACACGGAGATAGGTCTTAAATGCTGGACGGTTTTTGGCGCATCAACCTTAGGCAATGGTTACACATGGGCAATCTTCCAACTTTTAGGAAAAACACCAGAGGCCATGCTCATGTTTATCAAATGTGTTATTGCTCCAATTGCATATGGGCTAACAGATTTTATCATTTGTACGTGTACGATATACTATCAACACCTAGAGCTTTTGATTTTATTGAGTTCATTGCCTCTTTAACATCATTTTCTGTAATAATTTTAACACTTAATAATGGTGTAAATACCTGCATTTATGTGATCAATGTGTTGCTAAATTGCAACCGGTTTCGACTCGCAGTACAAACATTGTCGGGCCAGTACAGATGTCCTCTTGCTTCATTTGAAGGTCGTCAATTCATAATAAATAAATACATTTAACACGCACACGTACACGAACATTTAGGGTTAAAAACGAAGGAACGGTAATGGGACACGACGTGATCGGGCGGGGGTTATGTCTAGACGGGGGAGTTTTTAACCCTAAATGTTCGTTTCTGTGTTCGTGTACGTGTGCGTGTTAAATGTATTTATTTATTATGAATTGACGAACTTCGAATGAAGCAAGAAGACATCTGTACTGGCCCGACGATGACTCCTTTGTGAGTCGAAACCGGTTGCAATTTAGCAACACATTGATCACATAAATGCATGTATTTACACCATTATTTAGTATTTAAATGTGATCAGGAGGCTAAAATTCAATATAATGAATAATTTTAAATTCAAACTTATCGTTTTCTCCATGTTTTTTATCTTGTTGAAGTTTATTCAGCAATCCAATGTCTATCTTTTCCAGATC